CAAGCTGGCGGAGGGAAGGTTTAAGTTGGACATCAGGAGGCGCTACTTCACGGTCAGGGCGGCTAGAGTCTGGAACCAGCTTCCAAGTGAGGTGGTGCAGGCTCCCACCCTGGGGGTTTTTAAGAGGAGGTTGGATGACCACCTTACTGGGGTCATTTGACCCCAGTGCTCTTCCTGCCATGGCAGGGGTCGGACTAGATGATCTGTTCAGGTCCCTTCCGACCCTAGAAACTATGAAACTATGAACTATGAAACTGACACTGAGCTACTTCCTGCTTTGCTATTGGCAGCCTCTGCTGACAGTCCATAAATTCTGTAGGCCAGGAGAAGCAAAGAGCTTTTGATCATAAAGATGGTTCTTTTATGGCACATCTGACTTACCTTAGCAGGAAATGGTGAATAAGTGAAGTTCACACTGCTACTTCCCATCCTACATCTGCTGTGTTGATTAAAAGGAGACTTTGGTTTTCAGGGCTCTTGGTCTGATACAGGGGTAGGCAACCTTCAGTATGTGTGCCAGAACATGGCATGCAAAGGCATTTTGCTTGGCACACACCTCTCAGGACAGGATGGCAGGGGAGCTGTGAGGGGCCCGATCCTTGTTGTGGCAGTATAACCCCAAACCCTTTCCTACTCTCTGCCCCAATGTGTGCATGCACCCACTGCTAGCAACAAGCTAGGCTGAGGCTCTGTGGAACCTGGTGCAGCTGCTTGCAGCCTCCCCACCACCTACCGCAAATAGCCCAGGCTCCATGGCAGGAATCAGGGGCCTGCCCAGAACCCAGGCCAGGTGTGGCAGAGAGCTGGGAGGCTGCAAGTGACTGCATTCGGGTCTGCAGATCCCCAGCCCAGCTCGTTGCATGTGTGCCTGGGGGCAGACGGCAGGGTAGGAGCTGGGGCTGCGCTGCCACAACAAAGATTGGGCATACTGCAGCTCCCCCACATCCACCCCTGGCGCACCAACATCTTACAAGTCGAGGTTATGAGTGTTTTTGGCATTTTGCCCAACAACGTTGCCAACCCCTGGTCTTGTACCTTTCATAATTAGTAAACTGTATGAAATGTGAACTCAGGCTCCTGAAATCTTAACTGTTGGACAATGAGGCAAAGTTCTTGAATGGCATCATTTGCAATTTAGTATTCTATAAACATCAAAACAGAGAATACAACCTTTCTGCACAAATATCTTTCTATCATTGGAAATCAAAGTTTATGCATGCCAGGACTTTCTAGGAAACGGTCAATCTTTCTTTATTCAATATTATGGTCACTGTGCAAGAAAGAATGTTTTTTTATTGTAGGTTGCCCCTTTTATCCATAGTTTGCATCTGTCTATGATAATGAGTAGGCCAGTGCAGAGAACAAATGCATCCTTCTGCTGGATGAGGGACTAGTAATTTAACTGCACTCTGGTTACTGAAAACCAAGTCAGAATTACTATCAATATAGTTGGATGCAGTATGCAAACCTTCATTATAAGACTGCTGGGTGGAAAGAATGGTTCATAGGAAAGGGCAAATGCTTTGGTTTGTTCTGAGCCTTCTTGATGAAAAGCAAACCACTATTATGAGTTATATTTCAGCAAATGTTCCCACCTAGGCTCTGTCATCGAGAACCCAAAAGTCTGATTCCAGTGCCATTGGCACCCTGAGTGAGTAGAGATCACAGCATCAGCACACCAGTTCATAGTCTCCAGAACAGGAAAATACAACCTCTTCTACAAGCCAGACTCAGAGGACCCAGAGTCCCACAGGCAATGATAAACTTTAATCTCTTTCAGCTTTTTCCTGTCACCAGAACACAGTATGGAGGCCGTTGCCAAGTTCGATTTCAATGCTTCTGGAGAAGATGAACTGAGTTTCCGGGCTGGTGATAGTCTAAGGGTGAGTAAATGATTATATGAACCTGGTCAGATTTGACTGTATCAACCTGTGCATCCAGCATTCATTCCTGCCTGTGGCAGGGGGTCAGGCTAGATGATCTGTTCAGGTCCCTTCTGACCCTAGCTACTATGAAACTATGAAACATAAGATGTCTTGAAACAATGGTTCCTATGCTACTGGTGTCCCATGCAGGGCCATAGAAAGCTTTCTCATGACACACTGCTTACAGCCTTATTTCCAATTGTTCCATTGTTATAAAAGATGGCTAACCTATAGCAAATAACTTCCATGATATTACTTCCTCCTGTAAATAATTGCTGTAGTTGCGGCAAGGATTTTATGCAAATGAAAGTGGCAAAGGAATTATCTACAAAATAATCTCTGTATTAAAAGGTGGTACATATACTGTGAAAAAAGTTTGAGAGACTCTAGGCTAGCATATTATGATGCTTTCAGGAAAGAAGAGAGAGTTGGTAGGAAAAGTGTGGGAAGTAGTGAAGGGCGAGTATCAACAATGTAGAGCAAGCACGTGAAACTTCCTATTTAGTCTTTATTCATTTATTCTCTGTTTGTAACTGTTTGTCTCTTGTTTTCTCCAGAGGATGACTAACGATAAACCCACATGCCTTCACATAATTTCCCATGGACTTTTCACCCCACAGTACCCTGTTCCATACTCATTCCACTCCAGCTGAAGACAACTAAACGTGACTCCCTTTAAAACTCACCAAGTCCCCCCCTTAATTGGCCAAAAGGGAGATTGTTGAGGAATGAGATCCAACTACTCAACCTTTGCAGGGCATCTTGAGCTTGC